CAATTTATAGATACCCCATCAAGCAGTCATATAACAGATAAAGTGTGTGATGCACTGTTCTCACACTTTGCAAGTACCCACTGAATCTCTACAACTACTATAGGAATTAGGGGCTATTACTGGAACCACTTCATAAGTGGGCAAACCAAGTTGCAGAGAGGTTAAACAATATATCCAAGTCACATAGCCAGTAGGTGGCATAAGCAGGATTTGGACCCTGGAAGCCTGACTTTTAAGTCTATGTGTTTATCCACAACACCTTAATTTTTAAAATTTATTTTTATGCGATGCTGAGGATCAAACCCAGTGCCTCATACATGCTAGGCAAGCGTTCTACCACCGAGCCACAACCCCAGTGCCTGGGCTGTCTCTTTTAAAGTACAAAATTTCCTGAGGAAATTGAGGCTGAGAAAGCAGTGATTTGTACAAGCTCATCCCTACCTCTCTTGGAAACCCAGCTGTCATTGTCCTTAGATCAATAACTGGCTATAACACTGAATATCGAGGCATACTTCCATCTTTCAACGAATTCTTTTTAAGCACTTATTATGTGCCAACTACAGTTCTGTTTATAACCAGAGAAGCTGTAGGAGTCTGAGCAAATTTGGACCAAGTTAAATCTTTCTATTAACTGTGTCTCAAAAAAGATGGAAAGACAACAAAGCAACTCTGATGACTTGAGTTTTGGGCTCCTTGGATTCTACATAATTGTTTCCTTGAGGTCACTTTCAAAAGCATCAGGTAGAGATTGACAGAAAGCAGAGGGCAAGATAAGGATAAAAATATGTGCGAGCCAGTTCTGCTCAGAGCTTGAGTTTAATTGAGATCCCAACTGCCACTCTCCCCTGCATTCCTTTGTCCCTGGTTATGACCAAGTTTGTTACTGCATTGCCCCAAGTAATCCCTGTAATGGGCTGCAATCCTGGGGCTGTTTGTTCATTAAGTGGCCAACCTCTGAGTCACATGGAGTGTGGCCAGTTGGGGCTTCTGGCCTTGGCAGCTGATGGGCCACTTTTCTGTTTTAAAAGCCAGGAATCATCCAGGAGAGAGAATAGGGTTGGAGAAGAGGCAGAGAGACATGAAGGTGACGGGGCTTGAAATGAAAGTGGGGTGAGAGTGGCAGTGGGTGCCCCTTGCAGGTCATGAGCTCTTTGAGGGTTGGTGCTCCTTGTCATGGAAGCTGCAGTTGTTCAGAAAGCTGCAGAGGAACTCCAGCAATGGTTACAGCTGCCCACGATGCCACCTGTGTGGAGGGGTGGCAAAGAGGCCAAATGAGGATAGACAGAGCAAGGCAAATGGCTGGGAATGAGTGGACTTCCCCCGGGTCAGTATTCTAAGGGCTTTAGGCTTCAGCTCCAGGGACAGGGCCTAGGCTATGCCTGGGCCAGCTCTTCTTTTGAGCCCACAGTCCCGTGTCTGCTTCTTGGAGTCACGGAACCTTACAGCAGCTGGTTGCTTAGAGAGCTTGTCCCCCATCCCCTTCCTGGGCTGCTTCCCCTGCCCCACACCCTGCATCTGTCTTCTGGTTAGAGTTGTGTGAAGCGGAAGACAATTTGGGGCTTATTAGTGTCCCAGGGAGACATGTAACTTGTGTTGCTGGGACCCAAACAGCAAGAGTCTTAGCGGCAAACTCCAGCCGAGAAAAGACTGAGGAATTGTCTCACCTAATTACGGGGAATGGCCCTCTTTGTGTTTGTGATTCGGTACGGTTGTCCGATCGCTTTTGATCGCTTTTCTCCATTTGCTGGCTCAGGCCTTGCTGGAATTGTGCTAATTAGAAGAGAAATGGACAGAGTGATCCTGTCAGCCCTGGTTACTAGTGGGGACAAAGCGGAATATTATTCTGAGGCAGTGTTTTGTGAGGGCCCTTCTCCCAGCTCTCATTAGGAGGAAGGGGCCCCCAGGAGGGGAAGGTTCCGAATGCCTGGCCCAGCTAATGGAGCATCAGGGTGTTCCTGTGCTAATTAACAGGCTCTGCCAGCTCTCGCGCCAACTAGGAGCCTCACAGTTGCACCTGGTGCCACCTGAAGTCCCCAACTGCCCTGTCTAGAAGAAAAAGTGTGGGACAGAGGGTGGGAAGGCCAGTGGCCTCTTTAGGTAGAGTCAAGGACACACACTCAAAATACCCAAAGCCTAAATAGATAAAAAAGCTGGTTACAGGCCAATCAGAACATAGGAACTGACCTTGGAGAGCCCATTGCTTGCCCATTCTCTGGGAACAAGGATTATAAGGCTCTGTGGTAAAATGAAGCCCATGCAGGGAGCAGATAGTTTTTTTTTGTTGTTGTTAATTGAATTTTTTTGGTAGTACTGGTGATTGAACCCAGGGCCCTGTGCATGATAGGCAAGGGCTCTACCACTGAGCTACATCTCAAGCCCTTTTTACTTTTCATTTTGAGAAGGGTCTTGCTAAGTTGTTGAGGCTGACCTTGAACTTGCAATCCATCTGCCTCAGCTTCCCAAGTTGCTGGGATTACAGGTTTGCACTGCTGCCCAGAAGTCAGTCAGTCTTGTAGTTCTCAAAGGATGAAAAAAAACGAAATGGAGAATATAACCAAATGCTTGATAATAGAGGTAGGCAGAGTTGAGCACTGTTGAGAAACAATGTTATTTGATTCTTGGGACGATCCGCCTTGGCCCACCTGTTCATGTCCTCACATTCTACTCTGTTCATTTTCCTGTGATGCCTTGATCCTGGAGGAAACAGAATGGAAGCATCCCACTGATAAATGAAATTTCTTCACTTCATTACAAAGTCCCTATGGAGGTCCAAACATACTTCCAAAACTATAGGAACAATGGAATGACTTCACCTGCTCCATTTTCACTGTCATAATTTGGGTGACTCCAGAGGCTAGAGAGCCAATACGGCAGAACTTTTAGAAGTATCTATTTAAAACCTATGATAACAATAATGATTAACACCTATAATTCCAGCAACTCAGGAAGTTAGGGTAGGAGAATCTCAAGTTTGAGGCCAGTCTCAACAACTTAGCAAGACACTGTCTGAAAATAAAATAAAAAGGGCTGGGGTTGTAGCTCAGTGGTAGAGGACACTGAGTTCGATCCCCAGTTCCTTAAACGAATATGTATATGATATATATCTTTTATAATAACAAAAAGATAAATTAGTGATAGTGTTTTGATATTAGCACAATTAATATCTTTTTGAACTTTTAGGAGTATCTTATGAATTGCTCTGACTAGCAATTTTCTTTCCTTAAAAGAAAATGCTTTCTCTAGAAGGGCAATATTTGATCTAGGGCAGGCCAGCTATCAATGGGTGACAGCAATGTATACTCTCTCTTTTTGGGGGAGAAAAATGTGTACTCTCTCTTCTCTAGGTCTGGAACAGAATTGAAAAGGAACTCATGCTAAGAGTTTTAGTGGGCAGAAGAGAAAATATTTCTTTTCAATCCATCATATTTAACTGGAAGTCTGCAAACAGCTTTTGAAGTCCACTTCAAAGAACCAGATATGTAGGAGACAGTCACAACCTGGAGGAGCTTATGACTTGGCAGGACAGTCAGGCTTGTCTTCAGATCACTTAGACACAGGATGGAATGCCCTGGGAGCCAGAGGAAAGGCACACCTAAGTGTTGTAGGAAGTGGGGGGGAAGGATCATTTCCAGCTGGGTCATTAGGGGTTTATAGGAATAACAGGTTGAACAGAATAACAACAAAATGGAAGCAAGACTTTCCAGAAACTCAATGGCATGGGCAAAGGCACTCCAGCGGGGACCTGGAACAGACTTGACACAGGGGAGAGGAAGAAACCAAGCTGGAGAGTGGATTAGGGTTACATACAAAGTCTTATCATGCTGGGTGGAGCAATCCACACTTTATCAGCAGACCCAGGGAGGTGCCACAGGTTTCCAGGTGCTCCGACAAGAAGCACCAGATGTCCTACCAGCCATCGTCCAGGAGTGGATGATGGCTGGTAGGACAGATGGAAACTGGGAAAACAAGTGGACAATTATAAAGCCCAAACCACCCTATAGGATATGAAAGGGGAAGATATGTAGGCTCTCTGTCTCTACAGTTGTACCTTCTGATGAAATCTATGCTTTAAATATGCATCTTGGCCCTTTGAGAAAAAACTCACTCTCCTATAAAAGGGACATATTTATTAGGAAGACACAGAAAACATCATATACAAAGTACAATCCTCTAACATCTTGAAATATACACACATACACTGTACATAAATTTATATTATCAATATAAAAATACATCATTAACATTTCTAAGGATGACAATTACAAAACCAATAAATATCGCAATTCTAAAACATCTACTTACATTAAGTGCTGGTGAATAAGATGACAGTAAAAGAAGGAGGCCAAAGCAGATCAGAAAACCAACTACCTGGCTTCCGGTTACAGACTTGAGTTGGTTTGGGGGAGGTATCCCAGTATTCTCCATATACTTCTTAATTTCCCCAAACATGTAAAAGTGCCTGATATTATCAACTCTCAAAAACAGAGCAAAGAAAAAATTTGACATTAATGGTACACACATGCGCACAAGCTCTTCAACCGAATTTAGGGAGATCAAGAAATATCAGTCATAAACTTAAAATCAAAGTCTCTACAACTGACCCTCCTGAGGAGCAACCCAACAGAATGCTCTCCTTTCCCCGCTTGCCATTTGTGTCTCGAGCTCAACTGTCTTCCCTACCCCTGCAAAAAAAGTAGATGACATGGATGGTCAAGTGACACAAATGAGAGTAAAACCTAATGTTAATTCTAGCATGGGAAATAAACACAAATGTCATAAAATGGCTAAAAGACCAGCCATTAAATTGAAGAGTGTTGTGTGTTAGCAGACATTCAAGACCACAAACTTCTCCTGTGTCCAAACTCCCTCAGATCATTTCTACAGGAATATTCTTTCCATGAAATTTAGGACACCCCATGTACCTCTCAAAACATCAGAAAGCTGTATTTAAGTGAGGAAATTCTCCTCTTTCAGGTGTGTGTGTGTTTTTGTGAAGTATCTCATATATGCCATGAGGGAGCTAAGGTGGACAAAACATTGCCACTATCCCATAGCACCAACTAGGTTAATTAGGATTCTAGTTTTCAATCAAATGGCAACCCCCATAAATCATGCCCCTTTCCTATCTATCAGGCCATACTGACTCCTTCACTTAAATCTGTAACAGATTAACTAGAACTCCAAAGTCCTGATGGCATCTTCATATTGGCCTTGAGGTCTATATCCTAATGTGACCTAGATGGACTTTTTACTCCATAAGCTAATTCCAGGAGGGACTCACTACTCAGGGATTCCCTTGCCAAGAGTCAGACCTGGGAGGTGGGGAATGGGCAGCATTGGAGGATAGGACTATAACAAAAGGTGTAGAATTTAAAAAACAGAGGTAAAATTTCAAGAAGACTCTGGTTTTTCCAGCTGGATAATCTTGGAACCTATTATATACTGGAAAGTTCATGGTCAGGCTGCATGGTCTGATCCAGAACCTACTTGGTCTCTGTCTCATATCATAAATACTTCCTAAAAGATCCAGTTCAACTCAAAAGAACCCATCCAATCAATGTGTCACAAGTGACTTTACCATCACGGAATCAAATCAACTAGAAGATCCTGGGGCTCCTGAACCTTGTCCAGAAATGAAAAAGCATGACTTTGACCTTTAAGATTGATAGGATCTCTGGTGTTACCAATATCCCAGGCTAAGAAGCTGATGGAGTAACTGCAATGATCCTTGAGTAGAGCAGATTCTTCTCTTGCCACCAAATTTCCTCAGAGATGCAGAGTGCCAGGAGCAAGGCAGAGGGGCAGTCCTGAGGTACAGCCTCTGGCCTCTCCCGAGGAAAAGCGAGGTGTGCATCGTCAGAGCTGCACAGGGAAGAGTCCCCAGGACACCTGTCCACAAGCTGCTGCTACTTCTTGGGCTTCTCTAGAATGTTGAGGAACTTCCCCCGTGTCATCTCTCTGGCTGGAATTATAAAGCAAATGAAAGATCAGTGAAAAACTAAAATGTGAAAGAAAGATCTAGGAAGACTTAACTTAAAAATGCAGGTTGGTTTAAACTATATATCAAGTTGCTACCACAACACATTCAATCATCACCAACTTCCTAAACGGGGAAAAACTAAACTGAACTGACAAGTAAAACTGGAGAGAGATTCTGAAGTTGGCAGTTGTTATATGGTACAGGCTAACTAGGGAAGACTAACATCATCCTTAAAAAAAAAATCACCAGGGAATTTCTTTTTTATCTATCTATCTATCTATCTATCTACCTATCTACCTACCTACCTACCTACCTACCTATCTTTCTGAAGAATCTAACTAAACATCCATGTTCACAATCTCATGGGGGTTTTCTTTGGAGGCTAAAATCCAATCAAGATAAGAGTCTTCTCTGGGTTGTTGATCTGTAGACATCTATAATCTCCAATCAAAATCAGAGATCATTTACCCCATCTCGGCAGTGGTTGTCCCCACGTTGTAATGTTACAGGGTTTATATTCCCTCAGTACAGTTCATCTGGGGATAGGAATAATAATAAAATGCGGTTTATGGAGCTTTGGTCTTCTCTCTCTTGGCATTGTCAGTCCTTAGGTATTTAATACAGCCAGGCAAGGTTTATGTGTCTTTCTCTGACTTTCAGCACCATCAATCTTTGACTGCTGTAGTTACCGGTGGTTTTATACAGCTACTTTCCTACATATAAGGTTCCAAAATGAAAGCAAAACATCTCTCGATTACAAGGACCACTTCAGAAAACCCATTTTTAGCTCTGTCAAGCAAATGCTCAACAAGCATACACAGTAAAACACTCCCATCCCCATCCCACAAGGTCATTTTTTAACAATTCTCAAAGTTTCTGATGGCTGGCCCTGGAGGCCAGAAGTCTTCTGAAACCATGCAGTGGGCCCAGGGCAGGCTGTGGCCTGTGGCCTCCCAAAGACATGGCTCCATCCTGGCCAAAGAAGTGAGATGGCTAGGGAGGCACCTGCAGGAATGAGAAGAGCCTTCACCCTGGCCTTCTTTCCAAAGTCCAGAGAAAATAGTGTTGGATGAGTGGGCTGCCAGTTGCTTGTTTATTTGTACAATGAAGAAATCACTTTTTTGCATAATATAAACTGTCATCACAGGGAGGCTTTGGGATCTATCCACCTCCTAGCTTTTACTAGTTCCTGAGCTCCAACAAAGGGAAAGGAGATTATGTTAGCTAGGAGTGGAAGCCCCAGTGCTGGGTCTTGCCTCATGTGCCCACCATGCCACCCTGCCCCAAATCAAACCGACCTCCTCATTCCTTGATGGATTTACACCAAACTATACATTCAAAGTTCCCATAGGACTTGCACACAAAAACTTGTTTATGTATGTCTTCTTCTACTAAAATATAAGAACCGAGGACAGAGACTGTTAAGCGCTAGACCTTGTATCTGCTGAATAAATGCTAGCTGGATAAATGAATGGTAACATACAAAAGAACTAGAACTTAATAGGAACACAAATGTTAATTTTCTTCCTTTACACAAATACCAGGACTAGTTAGTGGCCCTTGGTGTTCCAGCTTCTCCACTGTGGGAGTCTTTTTGAATGTACCTTGCTTATTTGGCAAGAAAAATAATTTCCCTTGATGGAAGTAATGCCAAATTAAAGGAGAGATCAGGGGTCAAGGGCTAACATATTCCAGAGGAAATCCAATCAACTACTCTCTTGCCTATGGGAAGTGGCACGGGGCTTCTTCCAGAGACCACAGGATTTGAGCTCAGTTTAAGTTTCAGTGCTAGCACTTAGTAGCTGGGTGACAACTTGGCTTGGACATTATCTTGCTTTCTTCATCTGTAAGATGGGTAATGTTACTGCCACCTGCCCTTCTCTTCTCTTAGATATTAACAATGAACATACTTGGTATAGTGGCAATCATTAACACAATCCTTCTCAGAGGTGAGTAAGTAAGTTCTCATACACGCAGTATTTTCTGAGGGAATGAATGAAAGATTGTGATAAGGGGGACTAACAATCTTAAAAACCCCATTCCTTGGAATCTTTTCCCTCAATCTTATCCTACAGGAGTTTGCTTATACTTTTGGGCATTGTTTATTTCTACTGGATAAGTTACCCGTCTATTCTCAAGTACTTATTAAGGGCTTTAAATGTATACAGTTATCAAATGATCCTGTGACACAGCTGGAAGCAGGTGCTGTGGAAACAAGACAGTGGTGAATCAGAATTCTGATGAGAAGACATCCTTGTCCCAAACCCTAAGCCTACAAGTACTGCCCTGACCTTACAGTGTGACTTCTGCCTGCTGTACTTCAGACCCCCCAATTCCTTACTGTTTCTTCCCATGGAAAAATGACCAATATTTTAAGACACAGAATTAAAAAGACTCAATTATCTGAGGAATCAAAGGGTTTAAAAGAAAAAAAAAAAAGGAGATTCTGTAGTATCTCAGTTGCAAGCTCTCCTTGAATTTAACCAGTCCTTTTTAACAACCCCTTTTCCACTCAATCATTCCTCCCGCTTCAACCTAATCCAAGTATACAGAGCTGCAGAAAACCACCGTAAAAGTAGAAGTAATTCAAAAGACATCATCTTCTACATGGGAGGGGAGAAAGTTTCCCTTCTTGCCAGTCCCATATAGGAGATATACGAATGTGTGACACAGCCGCTTCCTAAAAGAGGGCTGTGCCTTATAAATCAGAGCCTAAGCACCAACCCCTTTTTGTGCACAGAGAAATTGCTGTGGGTCAAGGGCTGCTCCAGAGCACGTGTCCTCCTGTTCACTTGTCATCAGAGATGTTAACATTTCTGATTAATTCACATAGCCCTTATTTTATTCCTTTTTTTCTTTACCCTTGCTCTCCTGCTCTGCTGCAGTGTAAAGATTCTTAGCGACCTGCTACAGTAATCACCGCCCGCTCACCGAACCCCCCCAAAACCTACTGAAATTGTTTAGTGATGCCAACCGCGCTTTTAATTTGCAAGACATCAGACACAGAGGTAATTTATACCAACATCTGTTCATTTTTGACTTCTGAAACAAACTCGCACATGCTGCTACAAAATCCCATTAGGAATAGGGAGACAGCCTTCTGCTACTATTCTATATTGCTTGTCTACATATTCTCTCTCTCTCTCTCTCTCTCTCTCTCTCTCTCTCTCCCTCTCTCTCCCCCCTTCAAGGAGGGTTTTATATGTAAATGTATTTTACTGAAACATTCCCACCAAGGATTTCATCTCTTTTGGGGAAAAAAACCTTTATAGAGATGGCTACTGCCTGCTTATAGAGGAGAGCAATGTATTTGTTTCTCTCTGCCTAGGACCCTCCCTAATTCTTCCTAGACATTACAGGTTGGTTTACTCTGGCATGAATGGCCAGGGTAAGATCACACGTTCTTGAACTTGGCACTTCTAGTTCCTCTGATCTTTGCTGTGTCTCCCCTACTACCCTCGGGGCTACAACATAACATATAGAAAACAATCCTAGAAGCTGGGGATGTAGCTCAGTGGTAGAGAACTTGCCTAGCATCCATGAGGCCCTGGGTTCCATTCCCAGAAAAAAAAAAAAAGCAACGATCTAGAACTAGTGAAACTTGTTAACTACTATCTGTTCTGGATGGATTCTCTAGGATTACCAGGTTGGACAGGAAGGCAACTTTGCTACCACTCTAATAACTAGGCCATGAAGAACTCACTAGTCATCAGCCTCTACGATGTGTGCTGTGCACAAGAGAAGCAGGATGCCATGCCAGGTGGTGATTTATAGGCCTTTCTATGTAGTATATAGATCGCAAACTGAGTAAGTCACAACAGAGACTGTCACTACAGGGTTAACACATGAATTGCTCTGTGTGGAGAGATGGCCACTTGTACACATCAAAAGGCAGCAAAATGGCTAAACTACAATCAACTTCCAGGTTTATGCTATTTCTATTACCCCCTTCGTAGTTTTTCTAGGGCTGTCAGGTTCGTGGCAGCTGTAAATACATGGGTCTACTCAGAGAGGTCAGGGCTGAAGGGAGGACTCCAGCCTGCTCGTTCTGAAGGTGGTGCAGGTTTAATATAATCTCTTTTTGAGACTCTCCAATTCCTCCATCCTGTATTTAGCCTTGCCTCTGGCTCCCTTTCCACAATGACTACCCCCAAACTGCCTTCTCTGCAGTAAATTTTCTGGTGGCTGGTTGAAAAAGATTCAGTGGTACAGATTGATTTCTCACCAGTGAGGGGATGAGGGATTACCAGAAGCACCCTGGTTAACGAGATTGGGTGCAGAATCTCTCTCGAGACCAGCCCTCTCTGCCAGGGCTTTGTACCTTTCGTCTATGACATATGGGTTTCATTATAGGAAGATTTTCCAGATTATAACTTTGAGGCAATTGCTTGAAAAAATTCCACTCGACAGAACAATGTAAAGACCAAGTAACTTTTTAATGAAGTGGAAAAAACTCATATAATGCTTGGTGTTTAATTTCAAACCACTTTAAATATTTCTGTGCTACAATCTAATTAAAAACATCTGCAAGGTGGAGAAGAGTTACTTTGACTGGTTTGCTCCTATCTGGAAGAGTAACAACAAGCTGTTTTCAGGATACTCTTGCTTTGAGTGACCAGGAAACAAAGAAGACAGCATAATATTGTAAAGAGGCAGGGCTCTTGGCAGTGGACAAGCCTGGATTTTAACTTCATCTCCTACCCTGACCCTTGGCAAGTCTCCAGGTTATCTTTTCAAACTTCAGTTTCCTTGTCTGTTCAAGGCAGGATCAATATCAATGTCCGCTAGGCTTTAGGTAAATGCTAGCTTCTGGGTCGCCAGGTCTTTCATTTCCAACAAGAAGTTTGAAAACAATCTAGGATTCATTTCTTTCTTTCTTTCTTTCTTTTTTTAATACAATGCCTTTATTTTTATGTGGTGCTGAGGATCAAACCTGGGTCCCGCCTGTGCTAGGCGAGCGATCTACAGCCGAGCCACAATCC